ATATTGGTTATACCATTTCTTTACATATAGTAACTAAAATTGTCAAGCATTAGTAAATATTTTGCCTTAATTTTTATTCAAAATCGATTTTTTTTTTTACCAGTCTTGGTCTTGGTCTTGCAAGAGTGAGGTGATCTTAGTTTTGGGCATATGCTATACTGTATGCTATTGATTTTTTGTTTGGTGTAAACATTAAAGAAAAAAGTGAAACTGTGATTCCGGGGCTTAGCCTCTTCTATTTATCGAGAAGATATTTTTTTAAAGTCTTCTTTGCTAGAAATTTCGTGTTTTTTATAATTTCTATCACCAATTTTGGCCACAAGTGTTCTATCGCATTATGATCTGGTGGCTGTGGTGGGGGTTTTATAACTATGGGGTAGTTCTAAAGTAGCCATTCCTTAATTAATATTAAGGCAGATTGTTTGGAGTCATTATCCTAATAAAAACAAAATTTGTTTCTTAGCCATATTTTTGTACGATTTCTCTTAAATTTCTATGTAAAAATGTTTATTTATTACAGCACGTGAATATATCCACTATAAAGTGAAAATTTCTTACACCAGAAGCCCCAAACCATCCCCAACCCAAGAAATATAACATGATAAAAGAACATAAAACATAAGAACAAGAACAAGAATTCAAGAAAATTTCACTTTACTAGGATGTTTATTGATTACAATAAATTATTGTTTTAACCTAATAAAAATTGGACTATTTATTTATTCAATAATTTCTTTTAATATCCAGATGTATCATTTTAACTATGAGCCACTGTATACATAACTTAAATAAGAAGTTCTAACATGAATATAAATCGAATGATTAAATTTTTCACACCACATAATCACACGACAATAAAAAATAAATGATCCATTAAAATTAAACGGTATGGAATTAAAATAATTAACAAATTTAGATAATGAGATGAAATTGTTCTAGCTATAAATAAGCGCTCACAAAATTAGCTTAAAAACAAGCTAAAATTTTATTATATTATAATCCATAATGAGACCCAACTCTGACAGAATAGCTGAGCGCTGTAATTTTTATCCCATTAATTAAGACCATTTTTTTAAATTACTATTATATCGAGACAAAATAACATTCTTTACTTGTATTAAATCAATTAGAAATAATTACATGTTTTAACAAACTGCAAAAGTCTCATAAAAACAATTAGACGTATCCAACACCTATCACTTTCACAAAAAATGTTTCTATGGTTTTAATCATTTGAGTGATTAGGAACAGGCTAATTTTTAATAGTTTTTTTTTTTTTGTGTGTGCGTTTGTATGTTCCTAAAGAAAACTGAAGTTATATTTTGAGACATGAAAATCGACAGAAGAATATTAAGAATATTATGAATGAAAAATAAATTAATTAATTTTAATAGAAATTAAAAAAATAGTCCTGGTGAAAATTAATAATATTTAAAATTCTTATACCCTAGTGAAATACTATATTAAGAAATTTATGAGAAAACTGAAATATTTCTATAATGAAACATTGATCCAACTATTATCCATTTTTATTATAGATGCAATGCCACACATCAATTTTTTAGGAAACTAAAAACAAATATAAATGTATATACATTTCATTGTAAAATACATAAAATGAAAACTTTGTATCTTCATTTTAGTCTACTTCACAAGATAAAAATTATAAAGTTTAGTTCTTACAGTTTTTACAACTTAGAGTAAACTTTACTTATTTTTTTATTTGATAGCTCAGTACTTTTATATCTCTCTTTGCATAAAGAATTCAAGTATGGGAGGTATGTAGTTTAAATTGACTCATGGAGTAACGAGACTTTCATTACCTACTGTTGTCCTCAGATGCAGCAGGAAAATCTGAATATAACGGTGTGTTACGAATGATTATCGAAATGTCATTAGTGAAGTTTTATATGAAGGTCTATCAGAAATAATAATCAGATTGAAATAAATTATAAATATTAAGAAATAGTCAACAATTAAATTAAATTACATATTTATGGTTAATGACGTGGAAATTGCTATTGACCAAAAAATATCAATAGCTTCTTATAGATTTTTTAAGTTTTCATATTTTACCGAATCTCACAAAAACACCTCTTGAAATGCTTTTTTTATTCTATTTTTTATGAAGATGAATTGATTTTAATTACCATACTTATGGTTATTATAATTTTTTTTAATGATGGCTAGGAATCGATTTGTTTCCAAAAAAAAATTCCTCAATTGAGATAGATTGTGATATTTCATTTAAAAAAATAAAGTAGGAATTTAACAAAATATATTTTAAAAAATAACAAAATATATAAAACTCAAAGAACAATATATACATAATTAAATAGTCTGTGGTACATTCCCCTTTTTATCAAATTATTATCATCCGCCTAAAACTTCGTAAATTGTTTCATCTCACCGCAACTTTTTTACTAACGAAAATTATCGGAATTAGGGCGTTTTCAATCTAGAGAACAGCAAACATTGTCTATTTAGTTAGTCACTAAAAACTCATGAACACTTGGTTTTTCACTTGGTTCGTAAGATAATAATAAAATCGAGAAAAAAAAAGGTGGTCTACAAAAATATTGGGTCATCTGGCGCGACCTATGCCTCTCACATATCAACATAACGAGGTTATATAGGCCAAACGGCCCAATATTTTTTTAGGCAACCTTTTTTTTCTATATTGTGATCAAATTATCTTATGATTCAAGTGGAAATCAAATGGGTATTTAAGAGTTCTTAGTATCTTATTTAATTAATTAATTTTATGAGAAAACGCCCCATTTTAAGATTTTTCGTGGGTAAAAAATTTTAATATCACAATAAGATGAAGTCATTTACGAAGTTTAGGCGGATGTTTATAATTTGATAAAAAGATGTCTGTGCTACGGACTAAAACAGGGGTCGCCGTTACAAATACAGGGAAAACTGAATACTAACATTTTATTTAAAATTACTATTTTGTGGTCACAAAAAAAAAAAAAAACATTTATTTCTTAATTAATAAGTGAAATCACTTGTTGAGAAACTACCAAATGGTAGCACTCTAATGATATGTCTACATTAAGAGATCACAGGGCCATCTTCTTTTCAGACACCTTGGAGGGTTATGAAGGAAGCAAGGTTAGATACGAGAGCGTTGGGGATACCTGGATTTGGCCAGATACAATATTAAAGTCATTATGGATGGTTTTATTTGTAACAAAGTAGAGAGCATTGAGAATTTTATGAAGGATTTTGGATTGTTAGGAATGGATAGCTCAACTCCCAAGTCCAAATAGGTCTTATTATGGTCATGTATATGAGTCCTTTTTAATTATTGAAGGTTTAGAGCGTTTGTCTAGTAAGTGCTGAAGTAATCGGCAACGTCGAGCGGTTTCTTGTCGTTCCAGTCTGGTACGGGGATTCCAAGTTAGACGTTTGTCCAGGTGGGGTCCTAGGTAGCGGATTTGTTAAACGGGGATAAGTGGAGTATTGTTAAAGGAAACTGTAGGACACAAAGTCATAGGTTTATGTCGAAGGGTAAAGGTAAAATAAATAAATAATTCTTGACTTTTAAATTATACGAATAAATTACAAACGGACAAGATGATACAGATTTTTTTTTATGAGATAAGTGTCTAAAACGATAAGGAAAAAAGTACCGATATCGAATGAATATTTGACAGCCTTAACCCGATTTTAAAGCATGTGTATTCCATTTATCTGAAAAAAATCAACTTTCGCTATTAAAAACTGGTATACTTTCTAGAAATAGTGAATGTTAGGGAGGGCAGTAGGTGGTAGAAGTGGACTATATATATATATATAGAACTCTCCAGGTTTTTGAGCTTGCAGAGAAACGCCAAGCCGGTTCCTGAAAACTCTAAGCTACAAGAAACACGCACCCAATGAAACACGTAATTAACTCCGCCCTATAATTTATGTTAATTAAATTACAATAAACGAAACGTTTTCCGAAATTTTATATTATGCAATTAATCGAGTTTTGAAATATTTTGCCAACGTAACTAAAAGATAAATTATTTATAAATTAAATATATAAAAAAAAAAATGTATTCGTATTAGTGGAAATTAATTGTTAGTTTGCCTCCTTAGCAACGATAGGCCCTTTTAATCGAAATTCATAACAGAACCACTCGGTAGGTCGAATTTAATAAATTTAAACTCTCAATTTATAGCGTTATTCTTTATTATATTTATTTGCACGTTTCAGGGATACTGCAGCATATAATTTTCCTAAGTATTCGGTAAGATAAATGATCATATACTAAATACTAAAGTACATTTAGGGTTGAGGAGGGTTGTACTATTTTTTTTTTTTTTTTTAATTTGAATGTAGGATCAATGACCAAGCTTATTACCAACTAATGTAAGACTTACTGGGGTAAGTTATATACTCAAGAGGGAGTAAACAATCCCTGAAAAATATAAATAAAAATAATAAAAAATAACACTATAAATTCAGAGATATTAGTTATTAAATCGGACCTACAGGCAAAACTTGAAGAGAGTATAAGATAATAAATTAAAACTTGAAACTAAAAGATAAAAAAGAATTTAAAATATTAACAACAGTTCGTATTTAAACTACATAAAAAATGACTAATTAAAGTACTTTTTTCTTTATTATTTTTTACAATATAATTAAAACTATCTTGGAACGTAGCGAGCAAATGTGTATTTTTTTTTTTTGTCTTTGATGTTCTTCATAATTATTATTTGTTCTTTGAAGCAATAAAATGAAACTAATTAATTTGACTTTTAATTATTTTTTCATTTCCTTGTCATTAATTAAAAAACTATTATAATTGAGTTTCTCATCTAATTAAATTAAATACTGAATTTTCAACACATTAAAACACATATACGGTTTAATGGTCTCTTAGATCAATAAAAAATAGATAAAATATATATAATATCATTATTAAACGATAATTCAATTTAATTCAAGAACTAATTAAAATGAAAAGTACAACATAACTAACATTTTCTCTTTCTTTCTGAACCTTTTAAATTACCTATTATTTTGTAAGTATTTGATTTGATGTATGTCAACGCTGCCATGTTTTATTTATTCTGTATTTATAATTTGTTCTAAATGGACATCGGTCCCAGGATAGTAAAATTATTTTCATTCATTCAATTTTTATTTCAAGTTCATAGTAAAATACAGACCAACAAGGATTAGTTTTTGATCATTCAAAGAATTGTGTTGTTTTTTTTAACGTAATCAAAGAAAAAAGTCCTTAAAAAACGAATTTATCTCAATTTGCACACTCAGATAAAAATAAATTGTTACTAATTACCTGTTAAATACTAATTAAATAAATTAGTAAAATAAACTAGAAACTATCTCTTCGTAGAGGGACATAGCGTATTGCAGATTCGAGAGGGGGTTTGTCTAGGGGTTGTGAAACTAGAGTCGTATATAAGGATAGTCACTGAATGGTCGAGTGCGAATCGCCCAGCAAGCACCCACTCACCATGTACAAGGTATATTCTACATTTTCAATTTAATATATTTATTAGCTTTTTCTTTAAACGTTTATTCAAAAAATAAATATATTATAACTATTAGAATTATTTTCTAAAAAAAATGTATTTTAGTAAAAATAATCTTAAAATAAATTGAATATAATTTTCAAAACTCAGTGCCAGTTGATACCGCGGAATATTAATTTTAGTTCCTAAATTGGACATTAAAATAGTAAAGAAGTAATACAATTAATTATCTAATTGCTGTACATAACTATGAATAAATTATTTGAACATTCAAACAGATGATTCTGACTCTAAAGGAATACCTGCTGAAGTCATGAAGTACATTTTTAATTGATCTAATTCTTTGCTTAGTTTTATTACGTTCTTGGAAATTTCGACTTTATTAATTTATACAAAAACATACGAAGTGCCTCAAAATGACACAAACTCTATTATAAAACTAATATAGTTACACAATTTTCTAAGATCACATGGTCAGATTCCACAGAGGGAAAATTCAGTTAATTTATTTTAAGAAACCAAACTTAATGACTTTTAGCAGTAAATCGACTGTATAGACTCTAACCAATTGGAATATTTTTTAATATGATAATTCATTATTGTTATTATTATTCGCGTTTCATTTTTTGTTTTGTTTTTTACAAATCTCTTATCATTTATTATAAATATTCCTTTCATTATAATTTATCTACGCACTGGTCTATACTTAAAATTATATATTTTTATTTTTTTTCTTGGAAACGAGTTAAGTTAATGTTAGAATAAATTTAATTTCATAAATCACTATAAAGTTTCCGATAACACATTTAAAGCAATAGTTTTTAATTTCTATTAACGCTTGTATTTTTAACGATATTTATTTAAGCAATTCATCGAAATGTTCACTAAAGACTTGTCCAACACACAATAAGCAACTTCTAGTATCCATTTGGAACCGAATTTTGAAACATCGAGAAGTAGCTCAAAGCATGAATTCAAACTTTTTAATTAAAATCAAATAAGAAAAAAATAGTAAATTGTGTAATTGCTGTACCTAATTATTTTAAAGTAAATTAATTTAAAATATAATTTTGATGCGAACGTAAAATTTGTATTCAACTTTAGAGACAAAATTATATCTAAATTATGAATAAATTAGTATATGGATATTTGTGAATCCAATTAATATTAGTGAATAATGTCACGTCAAAAGAGATTCACCCAGAATATTCTCGTCTCTATATTAATAAAATAAATACTAAAAGTAAAAATTTCTGAACATAGTAGCTAGTTACATCTCATACATTCACTTCTTCTAGACATATACTATCGTATATCAAGTGTTGGAAATTTAATATTAGATTTTCGAAATTGGAATAAAAATACATTAGAACAATGAAAATAACTAAAGAAAAGTCAACCAAAGCAGAAAATATCAAAGTGGTAAAATATTATAAAAAGGAATCGCTTTAAAATTTCTAGTTTAAGAATGGCATAACAAATTTTATCAGTACTGACTGCACATAAATAGATGTAATTTGAAAGAAACGAAAAAAAGTAACATAAAATAGTTTCAAAAAATTTAAATATGTTTTACTTGTTTTATTACGTAAGTATTTCGCTAGAGTAAAGAACTGTTAGAAAAACGTCCAAGGAAAACGAACGAATAAAATTAAAACATAAAATTCAAACAATCTTTTAAACAAATTCAAACAAAAGTCGTTTTCGACAAAAAAGTCCAGAAATACAATTACAACATTTACACGATTTGTCCATTCCAATAGTTAGCTAATGCATTTCAAAACTGGAACGAAACTTCATAGAAAGTATGAAAACGGTTCTGTGGTTGCCGATTGCAACTTATCAAAAAAAAATTATAATTTCCATAGATATTAGAAAAAGTGTAATATAATTACCCACATGATTGATAGTTGAAAATTAAAATCGTGATAAAAATCTGTATGTATAAGTATTTTTTTTATAAAAAAAAAAAAAATAAACTCTAAATTAAGAACGTTTCAGAATTCTTTCCTTCTAAATTTTTGACATGTAATTACTTCACTTCTTTCTCGAAAGTAAATAATTTGGAGAAAAGTAGATTTTCATTTAACAAAGAACTATTAGTATTCAATTTAATACAACAATCCATAAGATACGAAATTTGGGTACGAATTTATTAAATTAATTAAAAATCAGTGCTCTCGCTCGATCTCCATTAGCTTAGGGATTTAGCGCCAGTGACGCGGTTGAGAGAGTAGTGCAGAGATCTCTTGGAGTCCTGATTTTCCCTCCACAGTTGGAACAACAAGCCTAGCTTGGGATTCCCTAGCCTGATTGTAAATAGTGTATACATGTGTGTTTTTTAAAAATTTATTTATGTTTAAGTTATTATTATTTATTGAATATACTTTTTGATTATTATTTAGTTGTTATTTTGTTCTGTTTGTTTTATATTTGTATGTATAATATGAATGTGATCTTACCTCACTATAACTATTGTCAAACAGACAGAATGTTATATTAATCAATACATAAAAATAATAATAAAAATCATTAATGTCTTTTAAATTTATGTGAATATTATTAATTAAAAGGTGAAAATGTACAAAGCACCATAAGCTCCATAACCTTTTAATCATACAAAACCATCAGATGACCGATGAACTAAATAACATGTTTTCGTCAATTACATTAAGTAATTGTTTTTGATGTTATGGTCATATTATAAATATTAAATAGCATAATTTAAAGAAGTGAAAATAACCTGAGAGGAAGTTAAGCTCATGTACAAATTCAGATCTAAATAAAAAGGTTAATATAGTCCTAAAAAAGCACCTAAAGAAAATTCACATACAGAGTTATAACCACTTTAATACACACGTCTGTTGTCAGTTATTAATGTTCTTATATGATAGAGATGATTCAGAAAAAAATTGCGAGCCCTTCGTTCCCATATTTATAAAACGTAATAATTATGACTAGAGAATACTGTTTGTACGCAATGCTGGAAGGCACATAGAGAAAGTTAAATGATAAGAAGAATATTAATTGTACAGTACTAGAATTAGGAATAAATTCGTCCGGCATAAGGCAAGTCAGAAAATCGATCCAGGAGAAAAAAATGTGTGTTTTACTTAAAGAAGTGTCCAAGTGACAAAATGTTGTAATATTCAATAAATATTCAAAAAATTTTGTAATATTCAATAAATAAATAAGAAGTGAAACAGGAGGGGGAGAAGGAGCTTGTAACTGTTCAAGATTTAACAATGAACTTAAACTTCCTAGGTTGGGAGTTTTACACCCATAATTTACAACATTAATAAATAATGTTATGATAACAATAAAATGTAGTAATACATTTTTTCCAAGATTATTTCAAGAAATAACCTTTGTAAATCAATTTTCAAAGTGATATTATTTAAGGAATTACTTTATTGCTGAAAGCGTAGATTAGACGTGTAACGGAGATTAGACTTTAAAACTTCAAAAAAATACAATCAAACATGGTCTCAAATAAATAATTATTCACAGTTATTAGTTAGAGGGAGTTCACTAGGGAAAAAAATAAAATCCTAAATATTTCGTAGAAAATTTTATTTTAATTTTTTTTTTTTTTATTTATCAAAAAGTATTAATTCTCTCTTACAAATATTTCCTCTTTGCAAGACCATATTAGAATACACTAATGTATACATTATCTTTCGTTGTAAAATAATTTAGCAGATGATTAAGCATAAATCAACTTTCTATTGTTGCAATACAGTAAAATAAAAACTGAGACTGGCCAGAAGAGAACACGATTATGTAAACGCCAATCTTAAAAAAAACTTGTTTTGGTAATTCTAGGTCAAAAAACGTTTGACACCTTTCTCACTCAACGCGCGAGTGGGCATCAGCGTACGAATGGCAAGCATTCTAATATTTAAATATTTTCTTATTAAAATTTTTATTTTACATGCATCTAATGATTAATTTTTTTTATGTTAAATAAACGTCAAACTGAAATGCAATGAACCAGCCTTTATAGTATTTATTATTGTATGATTACATATTATTTGTAGAAATATTCATTAAAAATTGGTATGCTTACCCACATACAAACTTTTATAATTTATTTATACTCATTTATTTATCTATTAAATTTTTCAATTATCAAATAATCTCAATTAATTCGATTAGGGAAAATTAGGTAAATTTATTAAACTTATTTAAGGTAAATTTAATTTTAAAATTTTTTCTTTATACTAATTGCGCGAGCCAAATGGCAACATCATTTGACCTCCAAGAGGCAAAAAAAAAATCATAAGGAAATTAAGTGTTAACAATATAATCCGGAGTACAGGCCCTTTTTTTTATTAAATTATTAACATTCGCCTTAAACTTCGTAAATACTTATTTACATTCCACTTGGATCGCAAGGTAATTAGACCAGAAAATTGATAAAAATGATGGCCTACAAAAATATTGGGCCGCTTGGCCTACATAACCTCGTTATTTTGACAACTTCGGGGGAAGGGGGTGTGGGTAACGCCAAACGGCTCGATATTTTAGAAGGCCACCTTTTTTCTCGACTTTGTGCTCAAGTTATCTTACGATTCAAGTGGAAAGAAAATCTGTATTTACGAGTTTTTAGAACCTTATTAAATAGACAAAGTTTGCCAACCTCCAGATTGAAAACGCCCCAATTCCAAGAGTTTTCGTAAATAAAATAGTTGTAGATTACGATGAGACGTAACTATTTACGAAGCTTCAGAAGAATTTTAATAATTTGATAAAAAGGTGCCTGTACCACGAACTTATAGGTTTTGTGACAGCAAAATAAATGAGTAACTAAATATTTTTTTTCTAAGATTCTTTATTTACTCTATATTTACTAAAATAATAAATACCATAACATCATTTAAGTAAACTATTAGAATACATATAAGTGAAATTACAAAAAAAATATAATAAAAAATCTGAAATAATACATGTAGTGAGAAATCTCTAATAAACGAAAGAATATACAATTAATGTTATCGAAATAACTTGTAATTAAATATATTTTGTCTAACCCTTAGGGACAATAGTTGGAAAAATTACGGAATATTTGAAATAAATCAATACTATTTGTATAAACAAAAAAAGATTTTAAAAAAATACTAAGTATGCATTAAATAAAACCAAGTATATTTGATGTTAATTTTTCAAAATATAAAAAATATTGGATTAGAAAATGATCTTTTATTCATTTTTTATCCTGAAGTCCAAAATGGTTACCTCATTAACATTAAAAAACGAGAAATAAACTATTTTTCAATCAGCATGTAATATATATTGTTCACATTCCATTCACAATCTCTTCTGATTATAGGACACAACGTTTCGAACAATAAGGAAAGGTTTTATGAGATAAAATCCCAAGCAGCATAATAATCACAGAATGTATTAATCCATTACATAAACCATAATGTATTAAATATCAATATCATAAAAGACCAAGATTAATATAGTTCAACGGTAATCTGGCACCGATTATGATACGCAGGTACTAGCTCTCCTTTCACTAGTCTACGCAGCTTCGGCCATTGGTGGCTACGATGGAGGTCAAGGTGGTCATGAAGAACATATCGATTATTATGTAAGTATTAATTAATTAATAATATGAATGAAACTATAATGTTATATTCTATAGATGTTTAATTTTTCAAGCCTAACGAGCTATTTGTAATCTTTAATTAATTTTATAATTTAAAAATTATATTTTAAGATGACCTGGTCAAAATATTAATTCTGCAAGCGTATAGAAATAGAAATAGAAAAATAACTTTGTTCTGGGACAATATCTCTAGAAAATAACAGCTATTTACAAAATATGAATTATATCTGGCCAAAAGGCTAAAAGATAATGAAAAAAACATTAAGCTATCTAAAATATTTACTACAATGGTAAAGAAAAATAATATAAAATACAATAAAATGCCTCTAATTATTTTGACAAAAACAATTACTAAAAAAAATAGTAATTACTAAATAATAAAAGATTTAAATTACTTCTGTTATTCATTTAAACATATTTCAAACAAAATTACACAATCATATAGTAAAAAAAAATGGATCATTTTGTATACATTGTAATGATGTTACTGGTCATCATTTCAAATATAATTCATTTCTTCATATTAATAATGTCAACTTTTTAACCAAGCTTTTTAGTAAATTCTTATAATAATGCATACATTATTACATTTTCAACTTCAAATAAGACAACAGAACAGATATCTTAAATAATAAAGGTAGTAAAGATATTTTAAACATGGTTAACCCTCATAAACGGGGCATGAAACTTTTATACAGTCTTTTAAAATATTAAGTAGTGTTTACCATTCGGTTAAACGATGTATTTTAACAGAACTTCCTAATAAAAGTTTTATAACAACTTTAAATGGAAATTCCTATGGCCTTATGTAGTAAGTTCTAATTTCAAAAGAACAAGAATGAATATTTAAAAAATTCCAGTCACATAAAACTTATTAAAAATTTAAGTTAACTTTACATTTCAAGCAGTGTTTTATTGAACTCTCATAAATAATAATATCTGTTAATATGAGAAAATTAATTTATATTATTTTCAGACGTGCCACAATAAAAATAATCGTAATTTAAGACTGCATGAAAACGCACCTCAAAATAGCTTTAAAATGAAACATCGTTTCAGAAAAAAAACTAAAGCTCCTACGTAATATATTTCATAACAGATTATTCAAACTGGGGGCTTTGAAAAAAAAAAAGTATAATTTTCAGCAAGATCTTCTATTTTATTAAAATAAATGGAACATAATACAGTATATGTATAAAAAACAAACCATCTATAAAAGCGGGGTTATGAATATATGTGTGTGTGTGTGTGTGTTTGTGTGACAAGCGAAATGTGGTCTTCTAAACCACATCCCGATTCCTGATTTTGATATTATGAGTCAAATTTTGACTGAGGGAATGATGGTTGAAATTGATTGAGTTTTAATTTTAAGAATCAATCCATAGTGCTTACAACATTTTGCTTTTTATTTCCCCTGGTTTCGGTTTTTGTTTTCATTTCAATGTTTGTTTTTTTTTAAATGGTTTTACATTTTTTATTTGTTTTAATATATTTTCACTGAAGATATTGTATATATTCTTTAATTTTGATTAATGTTATTTTTGACCAGATGTGGTTTTTATATTTTGATCATAATTATTATTCTGAAGGGACCTCCTCCCAGAATAAAGTTTATTTTCTATTCTATTCTATTCTTTATATATATACACATATAACGATATTTTTAAATATTTTCTGGAACATCAAACTGTTTTTTTTTTTCCTTTTTTTTTTTGCTTCATAACTCTCAACTTTTTCACAATAAATTTCTTATGTTATTTCTAAAAGTGATCTTTCAAGATATCGGAAGATGTCATTAAAAGGAGCAGGAAATTAATGTTGTCTCTCAATTCTCTACTTTTTAAGAATATTTTTGTTTGTTTCTTCAAAGAATGGTCTTTTACGAAATCCGATGGATACAGTGAAAGGGTTGGAAAATTCCCTACCATTCAAAAGCATCAGTAAATGTTAGGTATAATCCCGTCATCCCTGGTTGTCTAAATTTAAAACACAAACATAAAACTCAGCCTATCATTCCTTGTCAAACCTAGCCACAAATGAATGCTAAATTCGAGATGACAATGATTAACGAAGGTTGCTTATCAGTTGGCATCTAGCCAATTTTGTGATTTTTACAAATTCATATTAGGTATCCCACTCATCTGAATGTGGCACTCATCAGTCCACAAAATTTTGTTTGGACTAACACAAATAGCTTTACCTATGCACCTATGCATTTGTGTGTCAAATGTAAATACCATATTGCGGCAAATCGCAATTGAAATTATACTATTTTTGCAGGTGCAACTTCAATTTTTGAATTTCAATCCATAGTTAGCAAAGGAATATTCATCTCTGTAATAGTCGCATTGCTTAGCCCATAAGACACAAAGAAAGAGAGAATAATAACTTTCTGGGAATACCCAAAAAAATTCACAAAATTGCACTAAGCATACTATTCACAGTGCCACCGATATATAACTAGTGAAATATATATATATATATATATATATATATATATATATATATATATATATATATATATATATATATATATATAAAACTAGAAGTGAAAGTTTCTAAGTACAAAAAGTACAACACATTCATCAAAAGCTTCGTTTTAACAGTTATGAATTGGGCTGAATTATACTTTTCCACAACTTTAAGAAGACCGATAAGTTTTCTACCTTATGTTAGACTCGGTATAAGGACCGTGGATTAATTTAATGTAGGTATGTGTTAAGAAAAAAAGACTAAAATTTATCACTAAAAGCATTATTATTATTACTTATTTTTTTATTTTTGAAAGCCTTCAATGACCATTAAAACATTATTTTATATTTTTTTCAATAGTTACAGCTTAAAATAATATTTTCAAAAAACTAAGGCGCTCCCAAAATTCAATTCTAGATTCGCTACTGGGTATAAGCGAAATATGTAGTTTAACTTAACTCTGTAACTGTCGTAAACCAACGACTTCCTGTCCTACAGTTTCCTTTAACAATACTCCACTTATCCCTGTTGAGCAAATCCCATACCTAGGACTCCACCTGGACAAACGACTAACTTGGAATCCTCATACTAGACTGAAATGACAAGAAACCACTCGACGTTTCCGATTACTTCAGCACTTACTAGACAAACGCTCTAAACTTCCCATTAATTACAAAAGACTCATATACTTGACTATAATAAGACCTATTTGGACTTACGGAGTTGAGCTATGGTGCTCCACTAAACCATCGAATTCCCCTCGCATCCAATCCTTACAATCCAAAATCCTTCGTAAAATCCTCAATGCTCCTTACTTTGTCACTAATAAAATTATCCATAAAGATCATAATGTTCCTTATGTTTCAGATCTGGCCCAATCCAGATACCTATCCTTCCATAATAAAAGAATCATCCCAACCCTCTCGTTCCTAACCTTGCTTCCTCTTCAATTCCTGATAACCCTCCGAGGCGTCTGAAAAGGAGATGGCCCCGTGATCTCCTAATGTAGTCATATGTGCTACCATTGGGTAGTTACTCAGCAAGTGTATTCATGTCATTATATCAATTATGTCCAAATTTACTTGATGTATTTATGTAATACAGTTGTAAATGTCATAAAGAAATAAAAAAAAAAAAAAAAACTCTGTAACTTCTTTATGTTCATTAAATAAAACAATAAAACACTCTGGTGGAAACATCGAATCATCCTCTAGTAATAGAGTAAAACTGATTTAGATATTATTCTTGATACATTTGAATAAATTATATGAGTAAAACACAAAAGTAATATATACAACTTTCTTCTCCTCAGGCACCGCCCCATTACAACTTCGAATACAGCGTCCACGACCCCCACACCCACGACGTGAAGAGCCAGCACGAGACCAGAGAGGGTGACGTGGTCAAGGGCTACTACAGCCTCAAGGAAGCCGATGGTACCGAGAGGATCGTCCACTACACAGCTGACCACAAGAACGGGTTCAACGCCGTCGTAGAGAGGAAAGGACACGCTGTCCATCCGCAAGTAGTCCATCATGGACATCACTACTGAAGTCAATTCCTACACAAACTACCTATATATTACAACACTAAGATCTTTCAAAACGCACAAGTCATAGTTTTCTATTTTTGTATAAAAAAAAAATGTAAATAAATAGTAATAAAAACTAATTATATTTAATTCATAATTATTGGCATCAACAAATACTGGGAGATCTCACCATAGTTAAAAAAATGGTTCAAATGCTCACTATATGCTGAGCAATGCAATGCTTTCTTGTCACCCTCTATCAAATAACGTTTATCTTTATTTAATATCGTTACGATATTAAATCTATGGCTGGGTTGGTTTCATGAACTAGATCGCCTTCCCCAATAGTAAGCAACAATACTTTGAGCAGAGCACACCAACTATATTTCAATAGAGCAGAATTGGATTGTTAGCATTTCTCCATTTTCACAAGCTTTACCAACCAATACAAGGAACACTTCATAATATTGAAACCGATATGAATAGAAACCGTTTCGAAGGGTATTAAAAAGTCTAAGGGTACGAAAGTGGAATTGCGCACTTGATGTATGCGTATACCTCAGATGTTACAGCAACTTTTTCGTCAAAATCAGCTAGCCGGAAATGGCACTTTATATAAAAAAATGAACACTCATTTATTGGCAGTAACTATAAAAAATGGCTAAAAATGAAGTTTGAAAGAATATGATAATTGGAAACAGGAGAAAAAAGAAAAATGCTTATACTCAAAAATGTTAAAATTGGATTTAGTAATCCTTTCAAGTGAAAGACACATATTGTTCAGATACTGGAGTTATGAGGTTTACCAAAACAGATGGAGTAACGAGGTTTTTACTGCCTAACGTCAGTGATACCCATTCCCTCAAAGGCATAAACCTTCATCCACCCCTTCCAAGATATTTTATGCCTCTTTTTCATCTTAAAAACGAAAGTAGAATTTGAATATTCGTAGATTATATACCTTTACAAATCCTGTGGTCTGTTCGACGATTCCACTTGTATTTTTATTTGAAAAATCCCGTCAAAAAGTGACCCCTCATTAATTTAGATGGCGCCATAAAACACCCTTCTGGGCACCGCTGCCTACCGTCTATATAATAAATAGGATTTTTATTATTTTAATGGGCTTAATAATCTATAAGCTGTAAGCTTTAAACTTTAGCACCGTTTTAAATGCATATAAAAAATTTAATAACAGCCCATCATTGCCAGAAAATAATTTCTATTCAAAGTAGAGGGGTAAGTGAAAGTTGTGTGTTGCGCGAAACATATTTTTTTTCCAGTATTTTATATCATTTATATAAAACATAAATTGATGGAACACGCCAATCACAACATTAAAAAAGTTCATTCCTTTCAGTCAAAAGTGTTGCGAAGGATAGTTGACGCACCGTTTTATGTCATAAATGATACACTACATAAAGCCTTAACGGACCTACAATTTTAGATACTGCAAAAGAGAAATACAATAACTTTCACCAAAGGCTGAAGTACAACATGAATTCCCTGACAGAAATTCTTCATCGTAGACGAAACCCGTACAGCCCACTACGACGATTACGCAGGCGTTGGCCAAGAGACCTGCTGATCTGATTTATATCCCGGACGTGATGGGAAGCTGCGAAGCTGATAAAAAATTTGCTCATTGCAAAGAAATTTGCAGATTGCAAATTTAATCAAATGTTCTACATTTTTGTTTCGTTAATAAAATAAAATAATCTTTATCACACGACTTTTTGTCACTATCAAGTCCTTTTTTTTTTTTTTGGCTGTAATATTTTAAATACCTTACATCATTTTAACCATTTTTTTAAGCTTCACATTTATCTGAAATGTTTTATTTTTAAATTATGGCCCTACTAACGACGCATATAGAGAAATATGGCGATCAAATCATATCTGAACTTCGATCAATCGATTGTATACGTGGATTTGTTGAAATATCATACTACTCTATTTTATGGCGATAATCTGAATAGTTTACAATTCACTGTTATTTTAAGAACGGTTTTTGGCGCGCGTTAACTGGACTACTCAAACAGCGGAGAAAATAAAATAAAAAAAAGCTAAAAGACAAACAGCTGTCCCAATATCCGTCCGTGTAATGGGCATTTATTTATTTATCTATACTTTCAGTTCTATCGCCGGGTCCCTTCTACCTATGAAAACATTTTCAATGAATTGGAATTTTCAGCAACGTTTTTTGGCTAGACGTTTGCTAAATTCACCTTTAACCTGTGTCGATTAGGGTTGTTAACGACGAATTTAAAATAGTTTTTGTAAATCAATTAAATATCGCTACAGTCAGTACCAAAATTTGTATGTAAAAATTGAGTTTTTTTTTTACAGAAGAACATAAATACCTATTATTTCTTTATGTTTTATCAGTATAATTTAATATTTTATTTATGAAATGTCAGGCTACGAAATGTCACCTTAGCACAATTAAGGTATAATTAACTCGGAAAATCGTTGCATACGAACTTTTGCACTAGCGGTTTTTTTATTTATTCATTTAGAAATATAATAATCTATCACGTGGACAATAGTTATAGTGATATATATACTGATATATGAACACGTTCACACCATATATACTGAAAATATAAAAATAACAAAAGTAAAATAATAGCTAAATAATAATCAAAAACTATGTACAATAAAAAATAAAATAATCTAAAGATAAGTAAATTAAAAACATAAAAACACAGTCATAACTATATAAAATCTACACAATCAGGCGCAGAACCCTAAGCCAGGCTTCTCCCTCCGACTGTAGAAGGAAAAGCAGGACTCCAAGAGATCCCTGCGCTACTCTCTCAACCGCGTCACCTGTGCTAAAGCCAGTGGAGTTTGGGAGAGAGCTCTTTAGCCACATACACTCATGTCTTGAGTGGAGAATCTGGCCATTGCCAGAACTACAAGGTATATACTACAAAATATCTCTGGGCCACTGCCGCTTCAACCTTCGAGGGGGATTGTAGGGAGGAGTGGAACTAGTAGGGATTGTGCTGGTGGATTTGGATGATTTATAAGATTCTGATGAAATTTGGAAAAATTTTCAGGGATAAGAGCGAGGATAAATGGGATATTAAGAACATAATGTAGGGTTTTGTTGATTACATAGAACTGAGCATCGACTATTGTTCGGAGGACTGAAAGGGTTGGATGCGACTGATGTTAGAAAATTTTACACCAGCCCTAACGATAAAAGTTATATGGTAAAAATTGGTATTTAATACGAAGGGAAATCGGGTACTGAGGAACATGATAGATTTATTCTGTAACAAAGCTGGAATTAGGAACTCTTCTAGGAGGAAGAGGGTAGCTTAATTTTACAGTCCTTTTTAATTCATCTCTTCTCCTCAGTAAAATTAAACAAATTCGGTATTTTATTTAAGTTATATATTCTTATAATTGTAATTAATGTCGCACCTAAATTGTAACAAGATTTATACTTGAGAAATCTCGATAAACGTTAAAACCAGAACTACATTTGAGATAGGCCAATCTGTAATTCAGCTATAAATCGAATCTGGGGAAAAATTAATTATAAGTAAATAAATCAATATTGTATTATTAATAACACATTCTCAAATACTATCAAATATTTAAAATCGCTTTTGCTTACCTACTTTAAAAAAAAAATAGGAAGTAGCATAGGATATTTTTAGATTCTTCAGTAACCAAGTCAAAAGAATATCGTAAATCTTTCCATTCAGAAAAGATCAAAGAACATCTACTGCTCCCTTAATCAGGTTTTAAGAACAGTTTCACAGACTAATTATGTTTTAACGCTTCAACAGCCATATGAAATTAACAAATTAAAATTTAAAAAATCAGCGTTCGAATTTTAAATATTCTCTGCTGCTATTGTTTTTCGTCGACGAGATTAATGACCGAAGTTAATTAAAATAAATAAATTCAGAATTGCTGAATTACTGGCGTTGAGACAAGATATACAAACTTCTTCTCTAGATCAAACCGAACTAACTAGATTTGTGGCCATTTATACAAATAGCAGTTGAGCACTGCTTCAAAGGTTAAAGGCAGGAAAATAAACGACCAGATTGATGAAAGAATTTCTTTTCTTCAAGTGTATTTGAAATTATATATAAACAAATAAATCGATTTTGGAATGTTACATTTTTAATATTGAAATATTAAATACATTCCTCCATAGAAGCAAGGGAAAATGAACAAGAAGATTAAGAAAGCATTTAAAGGGATGATTTTTTTTTTACAAAGAAAAATTACATTAAAAAAATGAGCACACTTTATATATATATATATATATATATAGATAGATAGATAGATAATTATTTGGGAAGATAAAGAAAGAAACTAACTAAACGAAGAAACAAGCCTATATGAAATGGTGTTTAAGTTAAATTAAATTATATATATATATATATATATATATATATATATATATATATATATATATATATATATATATATAATGTTTTTTTCATACCACATGGTTGTATTTAGTTGCTGTATTTGTATTATACATTAAAAAATATAAAATATTATTATTGCTTAAATATTTATTTTCGATCACCCACTATAGCAAATATGGACCAATGAAATTTTTTTCCCCCATTTTTGGCTTCAGTGCTACAATACATCCTAATTCTTAGAAAAAAAAAGAAAGAAGAAATCCGTAAGCAAAAATGGATCTTCCATTAAAACCTATGCCTGTTAACCATTCAGGCAAATATTATTAAATAAGATTTATCTCCTTTGTATGCCTAAATCTATTCGTAAATAACAACCGGTAGCTTAATTTTACAGTCCTTTTTAATTCATCTCTTCTCCATGTGTAATAACTCTTACATAACTACTGTATTTTTTTTATACTATTTTTACAACTATTGTTATTTATTTATTTATTGAACAATATAACTGTCATTTGGACAATGGTTATAGGTAGGTAAGATCACATTCACAACATATGTATAAAAAAATATAAAATAAACAGAAGCAAGATAATAACTAAATAATAATCACAAAGTATATACAATAA